TAATCATAAATAATTTAGTATCATTTTAATTTGACATTTGAAAGTTTCTGGTTCCAATTGCTCAATATAGCAACAACTGTGAGTTGAATCAAATCGTGTTAATTGTAACTTGGTTGGTTTGATATTCGACCTTTTTGTACCGTCGAATGTATTATAGGTGATTGATGGACGAAGCCCGTTACTCGCTCCGTGTAGTTGATCATTCGGTCGTAACAACCAACTTAAATGCGTGCGTAGAGAAATGCCAGGCAAGCAAATTGAGAAATTGTGTGCGATGCAGCTTCAAGTCTACGACTAATTAAAAACAGCACTTAATGTGATCGTTTATAATCAGTACGTTTATATGAAAAGGAGATGATATCAATTTCAGATTTTTTACTCGAAGAAATAATAAACTTTCCCATCTTTAATTGTGCAGTTATATAGTAAAGAAATATTTAACGATACGTATCATTTCTCTCATTTTTTAGCTAGCATTATTTCTTATTTTAGAAAATTGTAAATTTAATTTACTGCATAATTACAAATGTAAAAATAAAACTGATCTAAATTGTATCCTAGTTAAATTTTAATTACAGGATAAAATGAATTATAAATGTGAGATATATATCGATAAACTAAATTATTTAGATCGATTGCTGCATCAGTTTCTAGCAAGAGTTTAAGTGGTTTTACAAACCAAGAAATTTTCGTTGCAAGAGATCTCTTGTTCTAAATACAGCTCTAAACATAATTCGCAACGAATACTTTCAACCGTACAAGAATAATGTTTTAATTTTATTCATTCTGTCGCCACTGATGATTACCACAATTATGGAAGGAACACGTGGTTTATGACGTCTCATAAGGACTGTAGATTAGGTAATTATCTATTCATTGAGGTTAACGACGTGTAATTGTAGGCCCGGGAATGCAAGTATCCACATGATACATCCAAGTGTCTGCATTACACTATCGCCGGCATTTAAAGCTAAGCTCGACGCCGAATTATGGCCGTGGCCTTATGCAATTCTTATCAAGTGATTTGCGAGGACTAAGCTCGCGTTTGGTCATTTCGGCTACAATATTAATGAAAGTGAAGCTTTCGAGTCTTGCAAATAACGGGTAGCGTACGAGAAACATTTTCTAATTAATAATTATTATCACTCAAAATTAGCGTTTATCGAAAGGACGACTTTTATATTGAAGACTTTCCCTTTCTGCTAGATTCTTAGTCAAGACTTTCGCCGTTTTCTCACTCTCTTGGATTCTCTGGGAAATCTTTTTTGCGATTTCGTGGCGTGTCTCCTTCCGAAGCAGGCTTGCGTACGGATGAGCGGATCATGTAATCATGGCGTTATTAATCGCGATCGGGAAATCGTTCCACTCGATGATTGATGGCGGAACAAGCGAAACGGTTCAGCGACAAATCGTGACTACAGTTATCGTGTCCTATGCACTAAGGGGCTACTTCCTTCTTACGAATAGAAATGAGAAATCTGCAGCTCTGCTGAGAGCTACATGTTGATTAAGACTGTGCATAATCATTGAAACGAGAAATCTTCTGCAGCTGTGTTGAGAGATGCATGTTGATTAGGATTGTGAATATTCAATGTACCAGAATTACTGTCGACAATTTTCTTAATCATAGACAAGAAGTATAAGCCGTAGTGCTGATGGAATTTTTAATTCTTGCTTTGAAATTTTTGTTTAATAAAATTTTTACACTTTTTTATTTTTTATTTTTCTCGTCGTCTTTATATATTTTATTTAAATTCGCACACTCTTATTTTTCTTTAGTTGTTATCTTTGCATTTGTAATATATCGTTGAGGTTCTTCAGTACATTCATAATTATGTTTTAAAACATTTCAATTTTTACATTTATATTATCGTAAATCATAAATGCAAAATGATTGAAATATTAAAAATATATTAAATTATTATATAATTCTAATATTGAATACGATACTATTTCTAAGTATATATTAAAATGAAATTATTTCTACGGCGAAAAGTATATTATCGATAAAACTTAATCACGATTGATTTTTTGAAGAATATTTTTTGTAATTATTATTAAATATTGTTTCAAGTAAATAATATTGATTAAGAGCTTTATTTAAAACATTTAAGAATACATAATTTCTTTAATTAAATAATATTTTAATTTTTACGTCATTAATATTATACTTATAATATTTAGGTATACATTAGATATTCACAGAATAATTAGAAAACAGAGTACAAGGCATAATGATATGGAAAGTATGCCAATAGAATTACTTGGAATTTGTAAGTAATTACAATCATTTATTCTTGATTAGGAGAGTAAAAGGATAAATATCTCTCACAGTTATTTCCTTCTTTTTGCTCCAAATCTCCCCTAGGAACACACTGAATTATTCTCGTTACGAATATTGATATTTGAAACTTAATTAACTCCGAGCGCGGTTCTGCATTCATCATTTATTAACGCCTGCAAATGCGTTACACGCGAATGCACCGGGTACGCGATTAACACGCGTGTCAGTTTTCCTCTGAATGAGAAAAAGCGTATTTGCCGAGCGCGCCCGCGATGTAATCACTAAACGAAATCCGGTCTTATCGCGGTTATCGCGGTTGGAATTCTTTCTAGGGAGTGCGGAAGCGTTAATTGCCACATCACATGCTGCGAAAATGTATGGGCCGACGCTCCTGCACTCAAGGGCCTGCTTCAGTCGTTGTATTTGCAGTAACAGTTGCAATCGAGTCGCGATCAACTCATAAAAGTGGACGTGCTCCGTAATCGGCAAACTCCGGTACGCTTATCGGGGACTACGTCCAAGATAATCAAGACCGGGGCATCGCTGCTGCTCCTTTTTGCATTCGTTCACGCATGTGATTTCTTGTAATTCGTGTCGTTTCCTTAGCCGCTCTTCTCTCGATCCACGGTAGCTAAGTTGAATTCTCACCGATGCGAGATAAGAGATGGATCGGTGAAAGTAATTAAACAGTCTACCTGTGGGAGCATCGAACGCATCATTCGTTGCGGAAACGTGTTTAACCGTTTCAAAGTAGAGATCACTACGAATGATACGTTCGCGTTTAATCGAGCGAGCGAATTATTGTGAACATTCTGCCTGATCGTTACTGTCGGGAATTCTCTCTTGGAGTTTCATCCTGGAACTTCTAGTACAAGAGTATGTTTGCTGCTCAACCAATCCCCGTTTAACCTTTATACTGTACATTAATTTCTCTTATTAATTCTAATTTATATACGAGACTAATAAATATATTTATAGAAATATTAAATATTGCGAATAAGAAATCAATATACTTTCAACATATTTAATCTAACGTTTTTAATATAGTATTATTTTATAATATGTTGTAATGAAAACTTTATTACAAAACATTTCTTTTAAGATTTTTATTCATTAGTCGTTAAATTCTTTTTTGGATACTTTTTATGCAAAAATTTTGATAAAAATAATTTTTTATTTTAATAAAACAATACGGATAATAATTAAATTTCCATAACATATGACATCAGTATAACGAATATTTTAAATTCTTGACATCGTACATATATTTTAATATTATACGATTTAATATTATTTTTAAAGTTACAAAACTATCTTGTTAATATTAAATCGTATAATTAGAATATATGTACGATGTCAAGAATTTCAAAATATTCGTTATCCTGATGTCCATATTGTTTTATTAAAGCGAAAAATTATTTTTATCAAAATTTTTACATAAACAGTATCTAAAAAATCGATTTAACAACTAATGAATAAAAATCTAATTTAAATTAGATATAGGTAAATTGTCTGTATGAGTTTTCGTGGTTGTTAGTACGTTAATAATATATTTATATATGGCGATAAGATATAATTTATAATTGGAATTGTTAGACTTATTAAAAAATGGTTGGTACATTCCAGTTTGTCAAATTATATTTGTTTGCTTTATAAATATATTATTAATGCACTCTAACAACCGCGAAGGCTCGTATAGGGTTTTTATCTATATCTGATTTATTCTTGGAATATAGTTTTTTTTGTTAGTGCATTAATAATATAATTATAAGACGATAAGATATATTTTTAACGATCTAATAACCGCAGAGGCTTGTATAGGCAATTTACTTATATTTCCTCATATAATTGTTTATACATTTATCGTATGTATATTATTTTTATGAAAAAAAGCAAATAATATTATATTATACCGATATACAAACCGGAAGCAGCCGGTCGAACGGAAGCGAAGCCAATGAGCTGGTTATGTAATATTACTTGCCTATAATGCCGTTAATCCTGGAACACAGTATTTGTAATATTATACAGAAATCAGTAAACGGTGTTACAATTGAGTACTATGATGCTATATAATTTCTTGTATTTCTAAGAATTATGTTTTTAGAAGATCTATACTTCTTTTGCATACTTAACAATAATTTTTTCATGTCCTAAAATTAATGCATATTCTGACATTCAGTAGATATATTTCTCTTCGCAAATAATGTCATATTTAGATATGGGAGAAATTTTACCGAAACAAAAAATAAGTCAATAAAATAAGTCTACTTGGAAATATTTTCGATATAAAACACATTTAAATAGTAAGATAAATGAAAAATAATTATTCCTTCCTATTCTCATGTTAATTTCTAGGCTTTCGAAGGAACATTTGTCACATTATATTACATTTTTATATTACAATTAAATATTATCAAATATGTATTAGGTGTTGGAATTAATTCGTAGCGTTTTTTAATGAAAGAATGTTATTTATTTCACATGAGCATTAAAAAATACATTAATGAAAGTACTTCCCATCACTTGTAAAACGCTACGAATTAATTCCAACACCTAATATATCTAACAATGAGATAATTTACGCACATCGACGAATAACTTAGATAAGCTTACAAATCGGTCTCCATTTGTAAGTAGTGTTTAAATATCCATCTGCGAGCTTTTAAAAGTTGTGCCATGAGTAATCGGAGATTTCTTCATGTCTTTCTTTCAGGCCGTGAAACTGGAGTCGGTGCATCCAGGAAGGACGCGATATCTCGTTGTCGTTTCCTGCACGGGAAGGCAGGACGCCGAAGAGAGTTGTCTCCTCGGTATCGATTGCCACGCCAGGGCGACCGTTGGTCTCGTACTCCGAGTTTTGGCAGACACCGCTATCACTCTCGACGGCGATGGGTGAGTTCGCATCTTTTTCTTTCTTATTGTTATTTGCCTCGCTACGCTCTCATCGCGAGAAGCGTTGCGGTTTTGCAATATTCCCGCGGCACTACGGATTAGCACGTTTCAGCGATTACAGACTCGCGTGGACTTTACTACTTTTTCTTATTTATGATCTGTTACATAACGTTACTCGTTAACTATGAACATTCGCTGATTATTAAGCAATCGGTTAGACTTTTAGGAACAGGCTAAGATGTTTTTTTTTTTAATTTACTCAAGAGTACATGATTGTACAAAATGTCGTTTTATTAAGATCATTAGGTTCCGATTATAATATTTGCATGTTAATAAAATACGTCAGTGAAATGTATTTATTATTTGATACATTAATTTAGACTGAAAGATAAAAATGAGCATAAGCGAAAGAGTAATCATATTAAGACAAGGTCAAATGTCTACGAACATTAATTAAGCATCGCACAAACATCGTCATCGGTTACGTCATGATTAGTGTGCGAATGTGCACATCTGCAAGCGCAATAGAATGTAATGTATACCGTATGGTAAGACCCTGGCATCAGATGTCTTCTTTTTTTCTCAAAGTTGCGGACAGTTAAATAACAGCTTAATTACGGACCTCATCATAAATCGTACCGTGTACATCTTAATATATTTTCTATTGCAGTGTAATTAATGAGATGAGGAAGAGATTATGTTTTTATTTCCTTGAGTTGAAAAAAATATTGATAGACACTTGAAACGTTCGCTTTCTCTACCTTCAACTTGCTACTTTTTTATAGGGGAACATAAAACGTAGACTATAAATCTGTTATAGTATAAGAGTATTATATCAGAAATATCAGATGAAATTTTAATGAATTTCAACTTGACAAACTTTAATAGCATTTAAAATTCATATATATGCGAAAATTAGTTATTAATTAGAACAAGTTTCCAATCTCTAAATTGCATTCATAATCCGATTTTGTATTTAATTGTCTTTCTTTGATATGTATCTTAAGATTGACTGTAAAACGTCTTGAAATCATATTATAATAATCATATTATGATCTTGAATATAAAATTATTAATTATTAAATATTAAAGCAGATAAATATCAGCCTAAATTTATATGTTATATGGATGAAACTTTTTTTCAACGTAAAGATTACATGAAAATTTACATGGAAAATAAAATTTAACTTTTTATTTACATTACGTTTCTATTTTGCCAAAGCTTTTAATTTTTTATCAAATACACTTATAATTATACTTTTTATAAAATTTCTCTAAATACATATTTATTATAATAATTTGAAATAAAATTTAGCTTGTTTTGGCACGAATTAAATTAATCGAAAAATCCATATGATAGAAAAGCGATATGTAAATCCGATATGAGGTAAATCCGAGACATTCTATAACTCTATAGGGATAAATTTCGTTTGATTGAAATCTCTGATGATTTAACGTACTGCTGACGTTGCGCTGCTTTACATCCGGCAACCTGACCGATCAACAAATATTTTCAGAGCGGCACTAGCACGCGGCCACTTTCTAACGGCTGTGCCAACTTGTCTAATTCCCTCTACTTTAAAGTGACTCATTGCCACGGCTCGCCTGCGGATTGAATGTTGTACCGATAATTAACGTGGCGGCACAACGGCGTGCGTACGTACGCGCCGTGAAATGAAAGGAGAATATCAGTGGGTGTCTACGCGTAGATAGCCTAAGTATAGACTTTATACACAGTCTGTTTATCCGTAACCAACATAGACAATGTAATTCACGTAGACAATGCTGATGTCCATGTGCTTTCTCTTCCTTTCTCCGGTTTTTTTTTCTGATGTGTAGTTTTTATTCAAAGGAGCTAACAATAAGTTTAACTTACACTATCATTCTTTACATCAGAATGCTCCGTTGTCATCAATTTTAATACAATCCGATCGCATTAATGTCACGTTTTATTTATCATAGGTTGATTCAGTGAGTCTTCTTTTAGCATAAATAAAACGTGCGCATCGGAATACAATTTATAGATTTTTACGTATGATTCTTATGTACAAATATGTACAAATAAATATGTACAGATATAGCTGAGAATGGAGAAATATGAATTTGTGTGCAAAGAGGAAACATTTGTATACTTTTTTGTGAAATCGTAGATTTGCCAGATTGCATTGTTAATAGCTTGTTCTCATTTCGGCGTTTATATTATATGTGTAACACCGCCTCCACGAAGATAAATGCGAAGGTCGCCACCGTTCTCTCGGGACTTGACAGGTGAGTACCAAGGTTACGACGGAAGGTCGTGACATAACTTGCGAAATCGAGACGCGAAGTCAACCGTAAGGTTCAGCATGGTTGGTCTATGGTATGGTCTACCGCAATGCAGCACGTAGTGTGGATTACATGCTGATGGAAAACAAACGTTGCAAAAGATGATACGGTGTCTGAAAGCATTAATTAAAGTTACTCTCACATTAGTTGGAAACAGAAAAATAATCATTGCAATATATCTCATTGCTAATATATAGACAATTTCATTCTTATATACAACTTTGATGTTTAGGGGTCTTCTTTAAAAAGAAAATTATTTTGAGAGCAATTTTTTCTAAATTTATATTTACTTAAATTTAGGCGTTTTAGGCGTCATTCTTTAAGATATAGTTTCAATGATTAGACTTACTCACATTTGATGTTATTTGCTTGAGTTTTAATCAATTATATAACAATTTATTATAATAAATGTTTTATTTTGATTTAATAATTATATCTTATTTGGATAATTAGAAGAGTTTAGGAAAAATTGCTCTTAAAATAATTTTTTATGAGACTCAGCAAAGCGTTGAATAAGATGTCAAGTCATTAATCTGCGAAGAGATTACAATAATGATTGTTTTTATTCCTTTTTTTTTTCATTTAATTCATTATTTGTATCTATCGATACTTTCTCCGATCATGCAGTTTAGACTCTAAAAGGATATAAAATGAAATATAGTTTCTAAAATGATATAAAATGAAATATACGCGTAATATATCCGATACATTGGCACATTAAGTGAGTTAACAGCCACAGAACTTTCAATGGCGGTGTTGCACCAACAAAAGGATTGCGATCGCGTCTGAACGATATTGACACGTGGCTTTTCGCGCGATTAGAAAGCACTTCGTCATTTTCCATAGCTATGGGCAAGGAGCTTATTCACGCGAGAGCACATTGACTGGGCGACGCGCGCGAAGTTCGTGTCCGGTCGGGTGAGCAATTCTCGCGAAATTAGCGATAAAGGGATAGTGGGATGGATGGACAACTCGATGCGTGGCGAAGGAAAAAGGAGAAAGAAAAGGACTGAGAAAAGAAAATGAGCACGAACGCCGGTCAGTTCGCGTTCCTACGATGTCGATGACCCTCAGGGCGCGGACGACCGTCTCTCTCTTCTTCATCTTCCTCTTCTCTTGCTCCATTCCTTTCTCTCTTTTTCTCTTTCATTTTGATGCGGTTGTCGCGAACTCGCGAGAGAGTTAGAGTCCCTTCGCGCGTTAGAGTTGCAATACGTCATTCGCTTTCTCGATCGGTTGAAACACTGTCGGTTGCAGCAACAGTTTGGCTTGCTCAGTCTTTCTTACCGTCTCTTTCCGGATAGATTACATATAGTCTTAACTATGTTACTTCACACGCAATGTAGCCAGAGAATTTAGTTGACACGTTCAATGCCGTGACGGTTATACTTCATCGGTCTTATGATATCGACGTGTCTTATTGATACACATGTAAAGTGCAACTGACTGATTATGTGCGCTGGATAAATTAAATGAACTAACGAGTGTTACGAAAGATTGAGCTTTATTCTCTATAACACAAATATTTGCAAGCTTAATTTACATTGGCATTACGATAGAGCCAGAGTAGCGCTAATTCTAATTAATGTGAGGCTATGCATCAATTAGGTTGGTTGTTTAATCGTTGAACATTGTTTTCTATAAATTTACGTACTCTTGCTTCGAATATAAGAAAGGCTGTTTCTTCTTCAATTTTATTTGCTAATCTTCAATTTGTGGGTAGCTTCATTTGTCATTAATATATTGAAATACAAATGAAGTTTTGAAAATTGTTAAAGAATTGTTGTACGTTTCGTAATGTTTAAGTAATAAATGTCATAACTCACACAGAATTCTTAAATTGTAATTATGAAAAGATTTACTTTTTAGATCGCGTAGTGTGTAAAATCTTTAAGCCTAATCTACAATGTGCTCTTTGTTTCCTGTTTCTTGCGTTTTACACTTTTCTGTTGCCTGAGATAAAAGAATTGACAAACTTTGAAAGAGATAAGAACATGTAAAAAGAAACACGATTGTCGATAAAACGGTCGCAAAGAAGGAAAAAGAAATAAAAAATGAGATAAAAAACAAAAAATAGGAAGCAAAGAACACATAGATTAGGTTTTAAATCTTTGGGGGAGTTTATAAATTGCAGCGTTTTATTTAGTTTATTACTACTTAAACATTATGAAACGTACAATACTCTTTTAACAATTTTCAAAGCTTCACTTTTATTTTAGAGTTTTGATACCATAATAAATGTGTATTTGAGCATTTTATTTTGAATATTCTATTTTTATTTGATGACATACGTAGATAATTAAACATTTTTTCAAATTGTCCTCAAAATAATTTTTTATATTAAAACTTAATAAAATATTGTACAAAACATCAAGTTTATTCTTCGAAGAAATTACAATGATTGCTTTATTATTTTTTTTTCTTCATATAATTCATCATCATATAAATATCCAAGTAATTTTTTTTGTAGTTATAATGTAAGAATTCTGAATTGTGATATTATTATTAAAACATTACAAAACTTAGGATACGATGGACCGTTGCGTGTATGTACTCTCTAAAACTTTTAGAATGAATTGATTGTTAATTGTTGTCTAACCGAAAAATGAGATCTTACTGTTAAAGATTGAAGATTGAGTCACTCTTTCAAGACCGACTCAATTTTCATTCTTTAGAATGAGAATTCCATTCCAAAGAACTTAGAGAGTATGGAATATATCTAAGAATGTAATCAATTTTCAAAGAAACTCTACTCCGTTTAACTGCATTGGGCGATTCGAAAATCGAGAATTTCTGAACGTCTATTCGCGTATCTCGAAGAAGCACGAAGGACCAGCTATAAAATTCGTTCGCAGAATGTGCGTAGAGTAACTGTAATCGGCGAGAGAGGCGAATTACGATCTGAAAGCAGAAGAAGGAGAGCGTCCGTTTTACGATCTGGATGATAACGGTGCGAGACGAGTAATTTCGCGTCGGAGGGGGCGGAGGACTGAAAATTGCATTTTTTTCCGTCCGTACTTTTTTTGTACTTCTTTACGAGAGTAAGAGATCACTACGCGAATAATCCTCAACGTTGTTACATGCAACACACCCAAATTCCTACCCACGAGGCACTTTTGCGTAACTGTTCGCGATTGCGTTTGGTAAATCGCTCGCGGCGATGCTCGACATCTTGTTTTTTTTTCTTCGTTTGTTTGTTCACGTAACTGCAACCTGCCGCGAATATCTTGATTGCGTAAGGTGCAAATTTCGATATCGCTTTATTGCGCAGCTTTATGTACGCCTAACTGTCCCTATCGTAGTTGTCATAAATTTTACGAGCAATATTTGTCTGAGAAAGTAATATTGATTGATTTATTGGGTTGAGAGTAACAAATACAAAACGCTACAAAAGAAAATTACAGGATAAACTTTTGTGAATTAATTTCATTTCAACATTGTTGTAGTTTTTGTTAACACTATTAGATATCAAGGAATAGTACGTCAATAGATACCAAAAGTATATCACTCTGAGTTAAATAACTTAATTATTTTTAACCTCTATGTATATCAAAATGTAAATCAATCCATTTTTATGATTAGTTTCAAAGTCCATATAAACAATGTCCATATTAAGGTATGCACTTAGTAAATAATAAACTAAATTGAATTAAATATAATACATTTTCTTGAGTTAAGTTGTTTAACTCTCCATTGTTTCAGTTAAATTAGCGATATATTAAATAGAAGCAGTAGCGACTTATAGAAATGATCAAAAATAACTGAAATTATATAATTTGACACCAATTTAAACATGTATGCAATCGAAAATAGATGTAAAATAAGCTTCTTATCTTGTTCAAATTTTCTGAAAGTCCATTAACTTTTTACCGCCTGCAAATAAAACAAAATCATTGATGTACCAAAGCGACGTTAGCCAAAGCGCGTTATTAAATCTGATCTTGCTTCTAATATTTGCGAATGAGGGAAAGCGATATGCTTCGAATAGCACGGCCGTGCAGCGTATGTGAAACGAAGTTTGACGTGAGTACCGTTCCTTTCTGGAAAAGACGATCGTAGAATCAGTAAGGATTTCCCGGAAATCTAGCCGGCGCGTATTACGGCAGCGATTCGCGATTCGCGATACCCGCGATCTCCTTTACATAATGCATAATTAATGGCAGTGCGGTGAATGCGCGCCCCTTCTCGTGTCGTAATAGCGAGAATTGCATTACCGTTGCAGTTTTGAAGCATCGTCGCTTTGCTCGCTAGCGTAACGACAATCGTCCGCTTGAAATAGCAAAATCGTCAGTTTGATCGTCCATTCCGTTGAATCAATATTACTTATGTAACGTCGAATCAAACCATTTCGCGGTGTCACGAACGGAATATTAATTCTCTGAAAAGTTAATAAAAATAAAATTGGAATTAATATAGAAGTGACCTCAAAAAGCTCTGCAACTTTGTATAATGAAGTGTCTTTGTAGAACAATTCCAGTTAAAATGCATATGATGCTCGTTCTTTGTGCTATTAATAATTTAGCATTTAAATAGGGGTTACGAGAAGATAACCGTTTACATACGAAACGATTTAACATTTAAATGTAAATGGTTTATGAAAATAACCGTTTGTTGCAATGATAATGTAATCAAAAATTATTTCATAATTTATATACTTACGACTGTAGCCAGTCTATGCAGACAATTCATGCAGCATGTATAATTTCGAAAAGTAAGAAAAAATAAGAAAAAAAAATAATACATTTAATAATACATAACATAACAAAATTATATTTATTTAAGATAACAAGTATACATTATAACAAATTTTTACAGATTTTTAGAGATGAAAAAGCAAATCAAACAATTAAATCTAGGAATGCGTGTTTTTTAAATTAAAATTTGAATTTTTTCCGTGATAAAAATGTAAGAACGTTTTTATTAATTGTGCTCTAATAAATTTACACAATAGGAATTATGTAAGATATTATTTTGCTAAAAACATATATATAACTGTGTCTACTATTTTAAAATCCTTTGAATTATGTTTATTGTTACCTGAAAACATAAATATTAAAGCTCTAATATGATTCTAGTATTCCAGACTACTTTACGTTCTACATTCTTTACGAATTAAATAATTTACACAGTAAAAGCATCTTAAAACAGTAATAATTTTCTCTCATTGGTTAAGTAGTCTTTTAGTAAAAAAGTATTACGTATCTTATTCAACATGGTTCCTAAAGGTCATCGCGGTCTCACTTCCGGATTTTATCTTTCAGGGGTTTCAAGGTCAGCGTTTGTGGCCGTCAACACATCTTCAAGCCAGTGTCCGTTCAAGCCATGTGGTAAGTCTGCATCTTTGATAAAAGAAACTGGTTTCGCGATGTAAGAATGGAGCAAAAAAATAGCGGCTCTTAAACGTTTTTTATGTTTTATATAACGGCTGTTTAATACTGTGTCAGAGTGCGTTTTTAATATCGGCCTCTGCGCGAAATTAAGAATATAAAGAATAACGTTAACTTTAATAGAGTGTATACTATCAGAAGTTTTTTAATTTATATATTGCTGATACTACTAATGAGATAATTGCATGGCTTTACAAGAAACTATTATTTTTCTATAAATACTTTTGAGATAGAGAAGCGATGAAAGATTCAAATTAAATATTCTTGCCCAATTATTAGATATAAAAAAAGATATACGGTGCACTGCCCTCCTTTCATCTACGTTATCGTTAACGTTTCCGTATTTAAACAGTAGAAATAGTACAGTATAACAAGTCACGGTTCTTGCGGTATTTCTATCAGTATTCGATATTCCGTCAGCTACGCTAGACGAGTTGTATGATTGGAAAAGAAGGGTCATTGTCATAGACTTAACAATCGTAGCTAATAGATAATGTTGATGTAATTATACGAACGACCAAGACGATTGTCGATCACGGAAGATACGTCGTACAAGAGAACTCTAAACATACACAGAGCAGCAAGATTTTCTATGGAATTATTCTTACGCGATTGAAATAATATTTATCGTGAACCTGTACATTGTCGCTCGAAATAGATAAAATAATTAAAGAAAGAGTGAACAAAGAAAAATTGAATCTAAATTGAACGGCGAATTTATTCTTAAGGATGAGCTTTCTTGGACATTCTGTTCGTATTTTCAGAAAAAAGTTTAGTTGATCCAGGTTTTAAACGAAAATAAAGCAAACATTTTACGGGTATAAATTGTCTGTGTTGAGACTATGATTGACGTACAGGCTATGATTGATCTTCGAAATACATCTGGTTTGATGTATGTGCGCATATGCTTTTTTTTTATCTCATACAAGTGTGACTCAAGCGACACGAGGCGTGTTGGGATGGATGGATTCTGGGTACTATAAAATTTCAGCCGATACTCCACGTGTCAAATGATGTTATTTGAATTTTTTGTGATGCTTTCTGATGCTTTCGCAACACGTATATGCACTGTTAAATATCAAAAGTTCAATGGCTGCCCACTCTCTCTTGAACTGTAACATTTTGTTATTTTTAACTTCCATATGTGTCAAAATGCAAATCAATCAATTTCTGTTGTTAGTTTCACCGTAAAATATACCAATATCCACATTAATGTATGCATTAATAAATAATGAACTAAATTTGGGTTAAATTTAATACATTTTCTTGTGTTAAATTATTTGACTCTATTGTTTCAGTTAAATTAACAATATTGACATATTGAGCAAGAGCAGTGGCGATCTGTAGAAATAATGAAAAATAACTCAAATTGAATATAATTTGTTGTTATGAATTTAATAGTGTACGTCTATTACATGCAATGAAGTATTAAAATACACGCAACAGCGGCGAAGTGCTGAATGATTCGGGGATGGGATGACGAAGATGTTATCGATGCGGAAGAGGCTGGACCAGCGCGAAAAGAAAAATTAGGCGTGGGTCGTGGTTTAATTGGTCGACATCACAATTGCCCTATGTGCGACCGGACAGACAGCAGGAACTTTCTTAACCGCCCAACCTCTTCCGGTGCTATATTTTTTCAGTGCTAGCGAAAACAGTGCTGTCTCCTCCCACACGAATCAATTATGCTCGAGCTCTCTCCTTGTAGCGTTGCTTTGATCAGTCGATAGGAAATTGGATTAATCAAAAAATTACGCTCGATTTTTGAAAGCTAAGTTCAAATTATGTTAAAAATTACATTAGAATGTTTTATTTGATATAAACTCTATTTGTCCACAAATTACAAAAAATGGAAGATACTGCTTTGTCTCGTTATAGGGAAGCTTTAAAAAAATCTTCTTAAGAAATAGTTTATTTCTCATTTTACAGCAAACTTACAGTAAACTCTCGAAAAGATGTTAAAGATAATATATGATTATAATGATGTATGTTTTTTTTTACTAAATGTTTCAAGTAAAATCTTTACGTGTTCGGAGACATACTTGAGAATAGAATAATTTTCTAGAAGCTTTTTTAGGAGACAATCTATTTTTTTCAAAGATCTGATTGATATTATAGCATATGTAAATTTTGTCGCTGTTGTCATTACTAATTATTGAATATTTTGAAATTAATTATAAATTTTTATATATGCATCGTTTTACTTTCCTTATATTTAACTAATTATATATATATAAAATTAGTTAAATATTTATTTTGTATGAGCATATTAAAATCGAATATATCGGTCAGCAGTTATCAGAATAGGTGTCATCTCCTTATTTGTCTTATTCGCGTGACCTACGACTTCGAATTTGTTATTTCTGGTACTGCTGCGTGTGCTCGGACGATGTGTCTGAATTATAAATAGTCTTGCCTCCGATCCCGCCACGTGCATTAGCGTTAACTCGCGGTGATTTTTGCAAAAGTGCGATCGACTCGGCGTGTGTAGGCGCAAATACCTTTGATGTCTACCGCAGTGTGAACTTTCGTGGGTGTGCTAATAAATTAGCTCGCAAATTGATTTTCGCGTGTGTACTTGAAGCTATGAATCGCGATACTCGCACAGTAGGAACGGAAATTAATTCAAATGGATCCTTGAAACAGAAGAAGAACAGAAAGAAGAACGTGGTACTATTAATGCAAAAAAATATATCTTATTAAGCAGAAAATATATTAATTAAAACATTTAACACTTTAATAAAATAATAGATATATATAACATAATAAATATACTTTATTATTATTGTTATTGTAAAGATAAAATTGAAATGAAAAAAACTGATTCTTCTTAGAAAACTAAATATACGAGAAGTTTAAAGTAATCATAAAAAATAAGAAGTGAAAAAGTGTGTTATTGTAAATAGAAAATAAAAAGTTTATTAATTTCTGCCACATTTTTCTGTTTTTTTTTTTTCAAATTTTATTCTTTCTAAATTATCTTTAGAAGAGATATTACAAATATTTCAGGAAATATACTAAAATTATACCTTTTCTCATTCAATGTATAACAACATTACATGTTTAACTATATTAATTATATTATTCAATCATATTATTTAATGATGCAAATTAATTATTAACAATATTAATAAATTTTGAACAGACAAATTTGATAATAGTGAACGCACTTTTGTTTCAGCACTTCGCGAATTTAAATAAAGGTTTTAAGTAATCGAATCAACCTCTTGCAGAAACAAAAAAAAACAATTGTATCACTGCACAATTGTTGCATTCAAATCTATTACTGCACGAAACGTGGCATGTCGAAATGCGTCCTGCACCGCGAACGAACATCGCGACGTCGGGAACACCGTTGCTCCTTTCCTATCAACGACGACGACGACGACGATGACGACGACGAAGACGTCGGGACGTCTCTCGTCGTCGTCATTCTATTTTTGGAAAAGCCCCGTTGGTCTCGACCATTACACCGTGGTGGGGTTGGTTATACAGTCGCGGACCACCGCCCGCGCCATTTATGGGCGCGTCGCGACGCGTGGTCACTTTGCCGAATTTCATTACGTGGTCGAACGACACTGAGCAACCCCTTTTGGAATCACGTTGTTTCCACGTGCATCCGTATGTTTCTTTTTTTTTTACAAAATCTCATTGTCATTACTACTACGGCTTAGGCTGTACGGTTGCGTTAAATATACGCGTTTCTAACGCTGTTAACTTTATTGATTATTTCTATCGATTGATCTTTATTGATGCAGTATTACAGTTAAGAGGAATTGATGGCATTTAAATTTGAGTTACATTATTTTGAATTACAATTATATTATCAGGTAATTTGAATTGACTGAAGAGTTGATAGCTGTAGCACTTAATGCAAAATTTATCACTATACATTGCAAAATTAGTGATAAATATATGTAAAAGATGATCACATACAAAATTTATTTACGTTATAATATTATACATTTTTTATTATGCGATATACTGCTACTTCAGATATTAATTCTTATCTCAATGAAAATATTGATGTATCAATAATTAATGTTCTTATAATATTAAAAGTGTATTTGTGGATAATACATACATAAATTACTCGCGTATAACATATATGTTATAGCAATCAATGAAAATTGGAATTGTAAATTAATTGTAATATTGTTATTATTTCATCCATGTTAATTTAATTAATTTTGCTCTGCATACCCACATAAATATTGAATATGATAGACAATGTAATGAAACGCGTTAATTATAAGAATGAAGTTTTTCATTTCATTTTATTATTAATATGATTACGATAATACTATTATAAATAGACAACAGACATTCTTTGTTCTGTTATCTTTGTATTCTATTTAGAAACTATTGGGGATAATTGCTTCTTCGTATGTATGAGATACCTAAGGGCTATTGCGAAAGTTTACCTCCGTTTGGATGGCTGACCTCTCTATAAACGTGACCCACATATGTAATTGAACTGAACGTATCCACTTCGTTTCAATTTCAAAAGTTTCTCGTTTACAGACGGGAACTCCTCTCTGATGCTGAAACCCGCCGCTCAGTGTCAAGCGTGAAATATTAAACGTACTTGATTCGGTAGTCTTGATATTTTCTTTGTGAGCGAATACACAACGCAGAGAAACGTTTATTTATGAACGTTTATTTATGAACATTTGCCCCGCAATTATTTTTTTATTGTTACGCGTATTCCCGAGGAATTTGCTTCTTACAGCGGTATAATTGGACGTAAACATTTCATTCGGTTGAGACATTAATCGAGATTCCTGTCAATGTTGTCGATCTCTTTTTACGCGATACACTTTTTACCTTGACACAGAATTTCCGGTCGCGGTGGATTATGAATGTCTAGCTAACATAAGTGTACCAGCTGGTACCTGATACGAGTTATTAACTAGTATGTAATCGATAAAAGATTGTTT